GAAATTTCACTTTCCAGTTTTCTAATTTTGTTGAAAAATGTAATGGGTTTTGAGTTCAGAGTCAAAATTAGGATGTAATTTCACTTTCTAGTTTTCTAATTTCACTTTCCAGGTAATGATTTTCGAGTTTACAGTCGAAATTAGGATGTAATATTTCTTTCCAGTTTTCTAATTTCACTTTCCAGTTCAAAGTCGTTTAAGAGAAATTGGGGCTGTTGGAGGATGAAGAGATGAGAGAAGAAGGTTGTTGATGGAGATGATAGAGTAGCTGATGTTTCTGACAGAATTCCAAAAACTCCAAGCATTTCAGAATTTGTTGCAGAAACTTTCTTCAATGAGTTAACCAAAGTGATTGAAAATTCTAATGATATTCTAAAAGTTCTTCATGCTCGAGATCCTTTGGGTACTCAGTTATGTTCACATGGAAAAGACGGTGATAAAGCCGGCGACTGGTGGCCGGCGACCGGCGGTAGCGGCCGGAGGAGGCAGAGGTTGACCTGATGTGTTGACCCTATCGATTTAGGGTTGTGAATTGAAAATGAATTATTGTTCCCCCTTTTCTAATCCCGCCACATAATCTATAATCACGCCACATCAGATTAAAAAACCGCCATGTCAGTATTTTTATCCAGGGTCGGATAAAAAAAGACCAAAATTGATGAAATCGATAAGTTATAGGACCGAAAATGAAAGTGGTTAATATTGGGGTGGTTTTTTGGACTGTGGCCAAATTATATGACCAATTTTAAAATTTTGCCGTGTTTACCTTGTTTTTTTCTTGGGGATTGATGTAGTTAACTTACGGAAGCTTCCATTGTTTACTTTTCTTTGTTAATTTAAGTTAGTTTTTATCTTCCATTAGTTGATGGATTAACTTCCTAATTTTGGATTTGAAAAGTTGATGAATTGGCTTCCTAATTTTGGATTTGAAAATAAATGGATTGAACGTATTGATAGTTTAATTGACACAACCTATGTGCAATGATGGCCCGATAAAACAAATTCATTGGTTAGCCTGATTGTTTTTAATTTGGCACCAAATTTGATTATAGGTACATTACATAATTAGTATTTTATTTTATTGACATTGGTCAATTTGTGGTTGCTGTGAAAATATAAAATGCATAAACATCTATCAACAAAAAAATTAAAAGTGGGTGTTCGTTGCCAGTTCATAGAAAAGCTTGAGGTAAGGTAACTTTTCATTTATAAATCTCTTATGTTCTAATCTATTCTGGTTCTTCATCCATGTTGTAATTTTTTGGAAAGCTTTTCAGGTTGTATGCACTTGAGTATAGAACAAGGTTCGTTATTTGGGACTATGATATATTAACAATAATATTCCAAATTCTTATAAACTTGAATTATTGGAATATTCATAAAAAATGTAAACAAAACTAAACCTTTTTTCATATTCTTGTTCATGTTAACATGTTGNTATTTGGACATGGTGTATGTAGATGCTTTACACTTTTTCTCTTTCATTTTATCAGGTCGTTATAAAAACTTTGATGACGGAAAGCAACAGGAGTCCTATTCTTTTGTGTTTTTAGCTTGCTCCACATATTATCAAATTGGCTTGTCAGTTGTATTTATAGCGCAGTGTATACGAAGGCATTTTAATTCTGTAAATGCTATTAGTATATTTTTATAAGTTTCATCCTATGCAGACTTGCTTGAGCATTGTATAAATTGTGGTTTTTTTTTATTAAGCTAGCATGCACAAAACAAAATCCTTTCTCAGGTAACATTTGGAAGATGCTTAATGTTTTGTATGTCCCAACTTCACGCAGAAGCAATTAATTCATAATCAAGTTCTTTCCTTTTTAGTATATGATTTGTCGTGTGTTTTAATAAGCATATTCCTTTTAAAAGTATTATTTCCTCCGTGATAACACTTATAAAATGTATATACTGATAGTTATACTTAAAAAGCAAAACTCATATAATGAAAAAAAAAATAAAAACAATACATATCTCATAAAATTAATCTGAATAACATGTCGTGGGCCTCGCCGTGCACAACACGACGACTTGCCCCTAGTTAATTCTATATTTTTAACTTGCAAATATTATTTAATGAATAGTTTTAGATTATAAATATTAACAAATATCTCTTAATCATGAATTACACGGATTTTTACTTCGTATTGTCTTAGACAAAAAAGAAATTAATAAAAAGAAAACAAGTAAAGGGTATTCTATTTTGGGACCGACTAGGGTCAGGTACCCTTTGTACATACCTGACATCAGATAGCCCCCTATTTTACCATTAGATTGACTCAAGATTGAATATGGACCATTGATTTAGTGTACAAACATGTACAAGGCCAAAAAGAAATAATGGACGCTTTGTACATGGCTTTGTACGTCTGTATACGTTTGTACATGCGAAAAATCTATTTTACCCTTACTATTATTAAAAATTTAAATAAATTATAAAATGAAACTTTTATTTATTTTGAAACCCATATATTTATGTTATTTATATTACAGTCCTACATATATTAAAAACACATAATTTAATCCTTTCATATTTGTATTATTACGATTCATTATATGAATTAAAATTAACATGTTTGTTCATCTTTTCTAAATGGTTTGTTCATCGTTCTTCATTTCAATCCTCCATCTCAGATTATCACCGTCGCCTATGCCTTTGATTCACCAGCGATAACATGTATCCCTCACCTACTTCGAACTTGTATGTATACACTACCGACCTAATCCATCGTCTGAAATGGCTTCATTTCTGACCGAACGTAACCGTCCCCTCACCTGAAACCTGAACTTCCCCACGATTTAATACCGGCCCTAATTACACTACTCATGTTACATTTAATGTTTTTGTGAAGTTTCGATTGTAAATATCTCTCCTGATTTTGTAGTGTTGTGTTTGTTTGTGTTTTGATTTTTTTTTTTTTTTTTTTTTTTNTTGTTTGGTATGCAATTTCAGGTCGTTTGCTAATTGGCTTGCTGCATTTGTATTCTTGTTATTATAAATTGATTTGAAACATTTGTGATGTCTTGATTTTCATTTCATATTAGGAGGTGGATTGGTTAAGTGAGGTTTGAATTTTGTTTTTGGTGCATTCTTAACTAGCACATTACATGCTCTATGAAATGCCTCACTCGATGAATTTGTGACATTGTTGCTAATTTCCACTAAATATGTTTGATATTGTACGAGGAGTTGTGATTCACCTCTACCTTGCTCCTGTTTGATGAAGAAGCAATCCAGCCCTTTTGCAGTTCACTTCTTGATATGTTGTACATGTGTTCCTGCTCTTTGTCCTTGTCCTTGAACCCCTTTTTTTTTCTAATTCAATGGAAGTATTTGTGGCACAATTGCCCTCTAGTATGCATGATGACATTGCAATGAAAACACATATTCATAAATTTCCATACTTTTTGAATATGGATGGCGCTAAATTTCTATATAATGCAATAACTATTGGTAAATTGCGTTGTGAATGCGAAGGTCATCAATACTTTGATAATCTGAGATATTTCCTGTGCATTTTGTATAACACATTTGATTTAATTAAATTACTATTTGTTCAGACACTGCTGCTTTTTGGTGGGGTAATAATGAGAGAGGGGATAGCAGAACTCATTTGTTGAGATGGGATGAATTGGTGAGAGAAAAAGCTAATGGAGGTTTTGGGTTTAGGGATCTTATTGCCTTTAATGATGCATTGTTGGTTAAACAACTTTGAGATTCATTACTCAGCCCAAATTCCTAGTTAGTAGAGTGATGAACGTCAGATATTATTTGCCAGACTAGGTTGATGAATGTGTCGCCCAAAGCACATGATTGTTGGTTGTGAAAAAGTCTTATGGTGGTTAGGAAAGTTTTACATATTGGGTTATGTTTAGAGTGGGGGATGGTACAGCTATTTCAGTTTGGTACTCACTGTGCATTTTAATTTTCCTGTTCATAGAGGGAGACTAAAAAGAGTGAGTGAGTTGATGAAGAAAGGAAAAACATAATGGGATCATGATATCTAACCTTTGATCCTGTGATTGCAGATAGAATTATGAAGATTCCTTTGGCTGGTAATCGAGGTCCTTATGGGTAGCTCAAGTTTGGATCCAGTAGATGGCTTGCTCAAGTTTGGATCCTGTACAGATTCAAACGATGTGGAGTGCAACAATGAAATTGAAGGAAATTGAAGAATTTTCTTTGGAGATGTTGGTTTGACTACATCACTTCTAAAAAGCAACTGAACAGGAGAGGCTGATTAGGATTTAAATCACATTTTGTTTAACTTCCCCAAAGCTAAATCGTTTTTGAAGATTAGTGGTGTCAGTTGGAGTTCTGAAGATTTTGAAATTGTTAATTTGCAATCTTGGTGACTGCATCTTTGTGTCTACGGCAATATGGTGTTTTTGGAAGAGATAAATCAGGAACTGGTAGATATTAGAGACCTTCTGTTGCATTGTAATGCTGTTGTCATTACCCGTAATCCTTGTGTCAAGTTAGTTGACCTTGTGGTTTGTAATCAATTGATTACTATGTACACTATTTTCAGATTAATATATATTCACATGTTTGTAATCCTTGTTTGCCGTTGGAAAAACAAATGAAATACTTGTGGACGTTCACACTGTTCAATTTCCTATACATTGTGGACATTGATTTACAATACTTAAACACGCACTATCGAATGTGAGTTAGTTGTTGATTTCAGCAGTTAACCAAAAGTACCATCGAAGGACTTGATGACTTCCACCCCCATTTAAACCTTACAAAACCTTCAGTTCGACCTTAATAATACGAACAAATATAAAATAAAAGTATGTTCAAACATACACCTCCACATTAATTTAACACCAATTAACATTGTTCAAAATTCCGCGTCGAACACCAAATCTTCACACTCAACTTCTACTTTCCTAAAAATGATAATTGTTCCTTGAACTATTTGACCATAATTGATGAAAGACTTGAGGCCTTTGAAGATGTGTTTGGTCCCTTCTTTCTTCACTTGGATGATCTATTGCTTGCCCCCATGACGAATACGAGCAGATTCAACTTCATCATATTTCCCCATCAACTCTTGATTCCAGTATGCAGATGGAATCGTCTGTATGATATTGAATTAATAAAAATGGTGGATTACTACTAATTCAACGATATTATTATAATAATGCATGCAAGTAATTTAAGTGTAGATTAATGAAAATTAAATATTTGCGAGTACATATTTGTTACCTGACGGCCGCGGCTAACAAGAGTGAAGGAAGCCTGTATATGGAACCCACCAACAATAGCTTCCTTTTCCATCTCATCCAATTCCTCATCATCTTGAATGCAAGATCCAACAACAGATCTAAGGGCTCTTCGAGCACAAGAAAGGTCAAAATGATAGACAATGAACCTGTTTGATCACGTCGGTGTACTCTTTTGAGTTTTGAAGTTATTAAAATAATAATCGTTTGACCCAAAAAAACAAATAAAAAACTACCTGTTTGGGCCTCCAAGTTCAAAAAGAAGGATGTGATTTGCTTTAACATAATTTTCCCTCGAAAAGTCCTCCCATCCATCTGCAAACCCAATCTTCGTTCCAAGACGCTTGATTACAACCGGCCATTTGAATGCATCATCCCCCTCGCTGTTCTGCAAGGTGCATTCAATTGGAAGCAAAGGTTCGACAGTGCTCCAAATCATAGGGGGGATAGGCTAAGAAAAATGAGAATGTCATGTGAGATATGCAATTCGGTTATAAAAAAATGTATAATAATTAGGCAATAATTGGCAAGCGGTAGTTATTGAACATTTATAATTGATATTATACATACAAACAGATGTTAGATAAATCAAACACAAGTCAGTAAAAAAAAAAACACTTACCAGATTGTTTCTGTTGTGGTAGATGTTAATTAACATAAATCGGTTAACCTCCAACAATTGAGGCTGGCTGCAGCCAATCTGTTTCGACAAATGACATCGACGGGTTACCTGATTCTTTTGAGTCCAGTAATGATCGAAGTGGTAAAAAACAAAGTTGTTCGGTTTGACTAATTTGAAAGCCAAAAAATCAGCCCATTTAATATCATTTTGAATGCTGAAATCAACCCATCCCTCAGTCAAACCAATCCTATCACCAATTTGCTCCACTTTCATATCCCATTTTGGTCCACTGTCAATTTCATCGCTATGGAATGTACAATACAGCGGTAGGTAGCCATCGAAATTCGCAGCAATTTTATCAGGAATAAACTATTATGCACAAAATTAATACCGTATGCAAAAAAAAAACATTAGGATAACGAAATTTAGGGTTTTACAGAAATAACAAATAACTTTAAATAGAACGTTTACCAGAACATGTTGAACTTCTGGATGAATGATTTTGATAAATGTATTGACTTCTGAAATATCCATTGACATTCTCGGAACAATTGATCTTTCTTCACCCTTGTAACGTCAGAGAAATTGCGAGAAAAGCGAGAAGAAAGAGAGAAAAATGTTGTGGTGTCGCGACGTGAGAGACTTTAATATACTACTTGTATATGTAACCAGTCAATTTCATCGTTATGTGTCAATGTTTTGGGGCCGGCAAACAAGGCCCACTAGCAATTCAGATTTCAGATTTGTTAGGGTTTGTAATTAAAATTGGCATGTATTATGTTAAAATAATAAATTGGTAATAAAATATATGTAGTAACTGGCTGCTAATTACCGAAAATTCGGTTTGTCCATTATCATAACTGAATACCGAATCGAAACATAAGGTTCAGTTCAGTTTTTAATCGAATACCCACCGGTCGGTTCAGTTCGTAAACGAGTGTTAAATTTGTAACCGAACTAAAATTTTAATGATTTACCTAACAACAAAAAATAACTGAAGCAAATTAATGTTTTTATAATTTATTTGGTTGGTTATTCATTTTGTTTCGGCTCGGTTAACCGAACCAAATATTTGTTTTTTGTATAGGTCCAAAGCGAATTTTCGGTTTCGGTCGGTTTTGCTCGGTTAACTGAACTTTGTGCACCCGCTTGGGCTTATTTTTATTAATTTCATTTTTTATTTTTATATTTTTTTATTTTTTTATACTACATGTAAGATCTGTTTGAGTATGGTGCTAATCGAAGATCCACGACTAGAAATTCATTTAAACATCTTGAAAAACCGATTACATTCCAACTTCAAACAAATTGAAATACTGAAAACTTCAAAATCAACCTGGAAACCACCATTACACACTGAAGAACTCAAGAACACTAACTTATGCAAACCAAAAACAGCACAAAACGATGCAAACGACTGCAAAAAGCAAAAACATTGTGGTGTTTCCCCTTGTCTGATGTGCTTTCTGTAGATTATTGTATTTGATTTCCAACAATCCTTTTTCCTCCTTCATCTTGTCGTTTTCATCTTGCAATTGTTGAACTCGATCACGTAACTCGTTTGATTTCTGAAGAAGCCCGTTAATTAATTGCTTTGAACGATTGCACATTGGACCATCGATCCACGAAAAGAAATTACAACCTCCTTCCTACAGAACAGCAAAAAAGATTTGCCTAAAACTCCAAAAAAAGAAATTAGGGTTTGTCAACCCTGAATTATACAAAACTTACCTTGTATAATTTGCAAAAACTGAATCGCCTTCTAGGATTTTCCGATGTCCACGATGTGCGAATGACCGCAAGTTGGCGACAATAGCACTCCTTGTACCCTTGGACCTGTGAATTTTCTGACATGGTTTGCAAATTCGCTCTCGAAGAAAAATAAAATAAAATATATTATCCATTGCGGGTTCTACGAGTTACGTTTCTTCTTATACATTTGCATGGCTTAAATAACATAATTAATTGTGGCATAAACATGGTAACGTGCGGCAAATGTGGTTGGAAATTTGGAAAATGCTACATAATAAATGTACAGAAATTATGGTAAATGCTATATAATAAATACGAAATTGACCCATTTTAAACAATCATGGAAAGTGCTACTATAATAAATGTAATAAATGTACAAAACATCTTTCTTGTACAGGTTCTTTTTTTTTTTTTTGAGTGTGACCACATTTGATCAAAAGTAAACAATTACATAGTGTTCAATTACGTTTTGTGCTACCACTAAAATACTTTAGAATATTTGCCAAAAAACCCAAGAATATTTGCCAAATTACCCAACATAAATCGAACAAGAAAAACGTAATAACCAACAAGCATACAACGTAATTTCCAAAAAGTCTCATATTGCCCTCTCAATTCACATTCATTTTAAAACTGCAGATGACGATTCAACGTCGATCAGACGGGTCATAATAGTACGTTTTAGTTGACAACTACGAGGCTGCTACGTAATAATATCATATGGGTCATACCCAAACAACTTCGATATGAATTATCACCCGACCAATGGGTACGTAACTCGATACATGATTTCGTAATTCATCAGTCGTCGTAATCGGAATGTCATAAGATGAATCATCGCTATCAGGTTGATAACCATAGTAAAGAGCCTCAGCATCTTCGGACGGTGGATTTCCGACAAACCACAATAGTCTATAGAGGGTATCCATAGTTACTGTACACGAGTCATAGGACTGGCCATTGCTGACTCCATTGCCTCCTCTGGAAGTAACGAAGAACCCAACCATAGCCCTACGAAAATACATATGCGTGCATACATTATATTGCAACATTATAATATTGCTGGATACCAATTTTAAATTTGATATTAAACGGTTTTTGATTTTTTGGTTAAGAAAAATGTGTTACATACCCTCTTGTGATTTGGTTGTATTTGGCTGTGTAAAGAGTGTCAGCCACCCTTTTCCTCGCTTCCATAGATTCTGCCTGTTTTCAACTAAAATTAAAATTAAATAATCAATGTAATATGCAAATTAAACTACTTGCTAATTATAAATTACCTCTGTAAGTGGCCGCCAAATTAAATTTGCTTATGAAGTGGAATGACATAACATCTGAATACACACATAAAGACCGCAATCGTATCTGCCGAATAACCAATTAAAAGTTAGAAAAGTACAACACATAGGCAATGATTCCAAAATTTTTTGTTTTCTGATATATGAATGGCTAATGTCCGTACCCATTCGGTTGTTGGGGAACAATTGGGTCGATAATTGGTTTGAACGTGTTGGCGATATTTTCATGAATGAACCCATCCCCATCCCACGCAGAGATAATCCCCTCCAGTCGCATTATCTAATCACGAATAATTTAACATTACCATTATCATTACTGAGCATATTGTTGCAAGTGAATCATAACCAACAAAATAATTGTTACCACTTTCTTCGCCAGTTCAATCCTCCACTTATTTGTAACTTCCGAACGTAAGGTGTCGCGTATTAGAATAACAGATCTTTTCATATCAACAATACACATGTACCAATGAATATTGCCATCCGATATCGTCAACGTTATACTCAAACATTCGTCAGCACGACCATTGAATACTCTATCTCGAAAGAACCTTTTTTGAATCAAGGCGTCCTTATGCAACGACAAAGCCATGCCCTGCAAGGATCATAGATATTGATAGCCTACATTGGAGAATTATTAAAATGATAATGTGTCTCATAACTCACACTGAAAGATGGCGGTAAAACCCAGTTGCGTTTACTACTATATTCTTCAGTCCGGTTCAATGTCACATGAAGGGCAACCATATCAATGACCTACACAGAAAATCAACTACTTATGAACATAATTCGACTTGTGAACCAATAAGGAAAAAAAATTAAGAATATGTACACACGGGACTTAACAACCAGTGGGGATATTCAATGGTTAACATCTCTGCTCTCGTGACACTCCAGGCCTCATACTTGACCAACAATTTGTTGTACAAAATATAAAGTTAGACAGTATTGTAAATGTAGTGGTGTCGTTTAAATTGACAAGGAAAATCCGTAATATGCAGTGTTGCCGTTTGCTTACGAAACATCCCCGTCACGATTGAAAACGTATTCGGACGCATTTGTATCCATAATCGTTATTTCTTTAAAATATTGAAAGATGTATTTTCCCGTGTTGCAAGACCGAGCGGGAGTGTATATATCCAGAGAGCAAACATCAAAATCCAGTTTGGTGGGTTTCATTGTCTCGTTAAACGATTCTTCTGAGGCACCCTTCTGGCCAGTCATCCTATTTTTTCCATTTTCACAGGCAACATTCTGGCCTGTCATCCTATCTTTTCCATTTTCAGAAGCAATCTTCTGCCCAGTCATCGGGTCTTTTCCATTTCAGAAGCAACCTTCTGCCCAGTCATCGGGTCTTTTCCATTTTTAGTTCCCATTCTATTGTCATCTTGTCCACAATTAACGGGTGTGTCCCGATTGCATTTCAGCAAAGATATTATGCCAGATACACCCTGATTAACAAGGGTTAGGTGATCAATGAGATCGTCTCTTACTATTGGATCTGTGGTTGAGTCACGCTGAACAGATTCCTTGGAGACGCTTTCATCCATCTTTAATCCACCCGACTGCTCATTAAATTTCCAAATCTGAAAAAAGAACAAAAAAAAAAAGGTTACATTATTCATATGTTAATGGCCATTTAAACAAATTTCTTACAAAGAAATGAAATCCACATGTGAACTTACAAAATTCGCATCAAAACCTCCCATGTGTTTAAACACATCAATTTCTCTAGAAATCTCTTGCTGGCTCCATTGTTCTAAAAAGGGAGATCCAGTATGCAATTGTTTCCCGACAAGAGGGAATGATCTAGCCACATGACCAACGAAAACCACCTACAATGGTTTAAAACCACTTTAGAAGATGTCTTATGCAACAATTTATTAACATATGATGCATATAACAATAGACTTCCGTCACCTAACTTGCGAAGAATTATTTCAGACCAATTGTATTGTTGGACAACATTTAAATCAACCAAGTAAATTAGAAATTCATAGTCCAGAGGTGTATCCCTAGCCCGTGGAAACTACACTGTGGCAAAAAGCAACATCAAATATGGAACTATGAATTCTGTCCCGTTCGTCTTGCAATCTTTCACCATATTATAAAGCTCCGGAAATCCAATGAATTCTTCTTTCCCAGAAAATAAATTACGGTACGTGTCTACCATTGACAGTTATAGGTTTCACCATTCCTTCACTTCAAAGACTGAAATGTTTCTCTACAACAACGGGTGACAAAAGAATTGTCTTTTTTCCGATATCCATAGTTCTTGAAATGGGGTTATAATTTTTAACCAACATAGTCAGCAACTTTGAATCCATTTGTGAAACATTCATACGAGATAATGGCCCAAATCCAACCTTATCTAAATTACGACGCTGGCTAAGAGTTAAGTCTTTATTGATTTTGAACAGTGTCGTTAGTTTTGTTCTGTGAAAGAAAATTGTGTCATCCACTGGATTACCTGGTGATTTGATAACTTCTTTTCTTCTTCTTTTGGAACTACTAGCAGGTGTGGCCTACAGATTGGAATAATAATGAAACTCTTTACGAAAGCAAATAATACGAATTATCAAAGAACAACAATTTGTAGGATATTTATTTTTTAAATAAAAAAACCAAGAACAATAATTACCTCTTGAAAATCTGACATTTCTTGGAAAATCCCCACCTGCAACGTTTGGTAATGGATGCTGAAGATGGAGGATTAATTTCTTCTTCTTCGTTAATAAGATGACTGCTTCTGAAGATGGAGGTTTATTTTTCGGGTAGTGACCACACAGTATAGGGGGGTTATTTTATCGTGTATTACGAGATCTGACAATCCGTTCAGATATTTTAGGTGATGATTACATATCCCGATATCCATGGTTGGTTGCAATACAAACGTAACTACCATATTCAATCAAAAAGTATATATATTTTGAATATATTAGTAGTTCTTGACATATATATGTAAATTTGCTATTTGGTAAATTTGCATTTAAGCGTATACATTTGGTCAGCATTTGCTTTTAATTAAAAATAAAAAAATTTATTTGGTCAACCTTTACTTTTTTTTTTCACACTTAATTTGTTTCATAAATTTTATATTCAATTATAAAATATTCATTTAAATTGACCATACGATCTTAGGACAATTGCATTTATTGTGTGTAATTATATACTAGTACAATACCCGTGTATTACACGGTTGTTGAATTAGAAACACCCTATCGTAAAAAATAACTTTGTTTAAACTAAAATAATTTAATGTTATATAAAAGATTAGTTTGGGTTTTAATTAAATTGTGAAAATATTTTTTTTAAATAAATATCGATATTATTTACTATTACATAAGTACAAAAATATATATCTTAAATAAATAGAAAATATAATGGTGATATGTATATGCATAAGTGTGGAAATCTCTATCTATATCTATATTTTTTTCTTTTTATCGTTAAATAAATTTTATAGATCAAAACTAACGTTACATCGACCGTCACATGGCATACGGAAGCATAGTGAGTGGCCACAATCTCGACTGTCACATGGCATATGGAAGCATAGTGAGCGGCCACAATCTCGACCGTCACATGGCATACGGAATCATAGCTCAAACCAAAATGAAACCCTAAATCAAAATGAAATCCTCATCAAAGTGATTATAGATCTAATCATACGTACCTTGAGGAGGCTTCGCCTAGCCATTTCCGAGTCTATATCTATATATTATATATATAGGATGTGGTTCAAATGAGAACCAAGTCCTAGCGTGAGAACCGTGAGAACCGCTATTTTTGATTGTATGTAGTGCTATGATTGATTGTGTTATAGTGCTATTTTTAACTATGATGTATTTGATTAATATAGCAATAAATTTTTTTTCATCATTTGTATAAATAATAGCACCATGCAATATTCGAAATTTAGGGTTATACACAATTAAAAATAGTATCAAATATGGTTCTCGCGGTTCTCACACCATAACTAGTTATGAGAATAATCATTTACTTAAAATATTAGTAAAACAATAGGTAGCGAAGTAGACTGGTTAATGTATTGTTCAGCCAACTGGTTTAGGCGGATTCGACAACAAATAACTTATTCAAGCGAACTAAACTGGTTAATCGTATCGTTCAGCCAATTGGTTTTGACGGATTCGATAACAAATAACTTATACAGGCGACCTAAAATTTGTTATATAACAGTTCTCGGACCATCCGATCAGACGGTGTCCACTCCAATCTAATTTAAAAAGAATGAGTAAATCATGAATAATGCTATTTATATATTTGATTTAAAACAAAAAATCGTAAATTCAGTACTAAATCATAGCGAGCTGGGCGCGAGAACAAAACTTGGGTCGAGACTATACTTATGCATAGCTGAAGATAAGTGTTACCAACACTTAGAAAAAATACACCATCTCATTCGGTCATGACCAAAGCCTTAGCATGGTGTCACGAGAGGCTAGCATGCGCATTGCTTGGGCTCGGCGCTAGGGACTTGGCCCGAGAAGAACTTGCTCGGGTAAATGTTGATATACTGAGCCCCTATACTTAGAAAAATTTCAACCAACACTCGGCTATGAATATGACCATCTTGGCACGGCTTTGGTGCGCACTCGCGAACCTTGGCGCGAGTGACCTTGACCACGCACGAGCTTGATGCAGTTATACTAGGCTGAGGAAAACGATGACTCGGGCTTGATAAAAATGATCTCATACTTAGAAAATATTCTAAGTAAGGCTACGAGCGTGGCTAGGGCGCGAACAAAACTCGAGAATACTAGGGCTCGAGAATTGACTAGGCGCGAACTAGGCGCGATACCCGTGACCGAACGACTCGGTTCCGGACACGGCTAAACTTGAACGATTTATCGAAACATACTCGGTTTCGATTATTCGTCAACTGAATTAATTAACTCCGACTGAATAAAATCCATTTAAAATAAATGGATCGGAGTTAATAACTGAGATTGAATAGCTGATAATTAGGCTCGGAACTCAAGACGAGCAGTATTAATAAAAAGAAATAGTTCAACTTGGAACTAAAATCTGTCATTTTTATTAATACAGAACTGGGCTATTACATTTCTAGTGGGTCCCTGGGAATCTCGCAGTCAAATAATTCTGAAATTCAGATCGGCACTTTGACTCAACAAGGGACTTCTGTTCGGCTCTGGGTGTCGGTTCGGCTTTTGGGTGGCACCGGTTGTTCGGTTCCTCTTCGGGGTGAACTCGGATGTCAACAAGCTTCATCCCAGGGTTGTGTCCTCATGCATGCTTTGATCATGATGATCGATGGCTGATATGAAAGCCATATCTGCATGTGCATGATTTCCAACATTCCCCCTCAATTCGAATCCAGGTTTAGGGAAAAATGTTCAATTTGCTCCTCAACCTGGTGAAGAATTGCAAGCTTAAAGTTTTGGTGAAGATATCAGCAACTTCATAAATAGATGGAAAATGCTGGACCATTAGACTGCGACATGCTATTTGCTGTCTAAGAAAATGTATATCAATTTCAATATGCTTTGTTCTAGCATGCCGCACAGGATAGGTAGCCAAAGCAATTGTGATAAGAGTGACACTGAGATATTTGCGAGTAATCTCTCGACTGCTTTCCAGGCCTTGAAATGGTTCTGTAAAGAGTATTGTGAGCAATGGGATTTCGGTTGTGCTTGGAGTATATAGTTTTCCTATTATATTTCCCTCTGCCACCACTACACGATCTTTAAGGTCCTGCAACAGCCATTTGAAAGAGTTCAAAATTCACTAAAGCTTTGAATTATGAACAATTTGGGAAACATATAGGAGATTAAACTTATATGACATCTTGGAGTGTGATAATATAAATATTGCCAAAATTTACCTATATGTGTGATCTTTTACACAGTTCAAACAATAAGGTAAACAAAAATTTGTGTGTGCAATGTGGTACATTTGAAAAAACAGGATTTCAAATCAAAAAGTGTGATACATTACTCAACACCAAAAATAAGTAAGAAAACATGATTTATATCTGCAATACAACTCATGAATGAAGTCAAGACGTCCTGCAACACTTTGAAACATTACTCAACTAATGGGACACAAAATTGAACATGAATTCTATCAAGTATAGAACGTGACTATTGAAAGTCCTACTACTCATCAACACACCGAGGAGGCTCTCCTCCATATCATTTAGAACAACATTACATGAGTCCATTACTACTCAGATAAACGGTATTCGTTAATAATGTTCTTGTTAAAGATAAGACAACAATATCAGAGAATTTTCGTGCTTAACACCCACAACACCAATTCATATGACTAATCAGACTAGTCGTCCTGTTTAAAACATTACGCCAAACATCCAAACACAATATCATTGATAGAAGTCATGTTCTTAATAACACGCATACTACACACACATCTAAACATCATTAGTAATAACCGTCGATTATACATGACGGATGCACAACAAAATGAATAGGGAGTAATATGAATAACAGAAATGAAGAACACGAAGAATTGATTGGTCAATATAATTAATGAAGAACACGAAAGCTCATATCGATTAGTTTTTCACCTTCAGCTCTGGGTGTGAACAATTGATCGTGTGTGTGTGCAGGTTCATCGCTAGGTTGCACAAGCATTGAAGATGAATTCTTCGTTGTGATTGAAGATGATAAAACCCTAAACCCTAATCGCCCAGAGAATATCTAGAACGAAGATGTTATTTTGGGTTTAAATGTGATAGGTTAATTCTTATGCAATTTACGAAAGTATGGTGGTTTAATTGAAATATGTAATTATGTTTAGGGTTAATGTTAAGAAAATAATACTTAAAGACCTTTTACGTAAATTCATTACAAGTTTTTATTTATTAAGGACATTTCAGTATTTCTACAAACCCTTATGGACACTTGTCATTCATGGGGTAAAATATACAAGACCCCCTTGTATTATACGAAATCTACGCGTTTCCCCTCTGTATTTTAAAAATTGCGTCAGACCCCCTTCTATTAAGGTTTTGTATGCGCGAAACACCCAAAATTTAGACGATTTTGGGTGTTTCGCGCATACAAAACCTTAATAGAAGGGAGTCTGACGCAATTTTTAAAATACAGGGGGGAAACGCACAAATTTCGTATAATACAGGGGGGTTTGGTGCATTAAACCCGTCATTCATGTAAGCCATACCTGAAGCTAGACATGTACAAACCAAAAAAAAATCTACCTGACCATAGAATCACCCTTCTATTTTCCGGGGCCTACAAAAGACTTGAAGAGTGTTTAGGTCACATTATTTTCGTTTTTAATTTCCATTTTCCAATTTGTTTTGTTTAGAGTAGTGCTAGATCTTCGGTCCTCGTTGGCCATGTGTCCCACAGCAAGAAATTCGAAGGATGCCCACCTAATCTTTAAATTTAGAGTGGACAAAGAACAAGAGAGAGAAAAGCTGCAATCTATTTTCATTCACAGCTTTCTCATAAAGAAAAATGAAAAAAAGAAGTAAGCAAGCATTAGTGTAATGGTCAGTGAGTAGATGAGTCGGCATTAAATTACAGTCTGCACTCCATGACTCTCCTTATGCTGTTTTTCCTCGTCAATCCCTCCTCTTTTTCTTGATGAAACTTTGTTTTTTTTTTATTAGAGCAAAATGTAAAAAAATGGGGTCAAACTTAACAAGGGTTTCGATAGTGACATTAACTGGCGCCTTACTTTACACTTCATCTTGGGCCCATTTGTCACAGTAATCTTATGTCATGCCCTTTCCCCTGTGTTGATGCTGCTAGATCTGGTGCAAAAGAACCCATTTGCCTAATTTCGAAACCTTCATTGTTCAAGATTCTCTCAATTAGGTTTTTAGTCCTTTTGATGATCAGGAGAATTTTCCTTGTTCAAAGTAAAGGATATAGAAGACCCCCCATGTCTGTCTCTTTATCATGGGACCAAATCAAAAATTCATTTTTAGACATTCCTTAATTGAATAATCAAGATTAAATTTTTGAGGCGTTTGATTCACCGATGGATGGTGTATTGCTTTCCAGGTATATCTCATTTCCCACATTCTTGTTATTGTTATTGTTGTTGGTATTAGCCGCATTGCCGCCAGTTAAATCTGGTGATGCTGAGTCTCTCTTGGCTTTGAGACCCTCAATAGATCCTTTAGGTATGCTTCAATGGGGAATTCAGGGAATCAATGTCTGCCAATGGCAAGGTGTTAGAGAATGCCTGAATGGCAGGGTAACAAAGCTTGTGGTTGAGAGATTTAACCTGAGTGGCAAATTAGATGGCAGAAGCCTCAACCAGTTGGATCAGCTAAGGGTCTTAAGCTTTAAACAAAACTCGCTTTCTGGCCAAATCCCTCAACTCCCGGGCCTTGCCAATCTGAAATCACTTTTTCTCAATAACAATATGTTTTCGGGCCGAATACCGGTTAGTCTCTCTCATCTGCACCGTCTCAAAGTCATTGTCCTGTCCAGTAACAGGATTACAGGCCCAATTCCTCCGCCCTTTGTCGGTTTGAATCGACTGTACGTTCTCTATTTGCAAGACAATCGGTTGACGGGACTTATACCTCCTTTTAATCAGAGCAGCTTGAGATTCTTTAACGTATCGGATAATTCACTCTCGGGAAATATCCCGGCAACTCAAGCACTGACCAAGTTCAATGAATCCTCATTCGTTGCTAACCTTGACTTATGCGGCGGACAAATTCGTCGACCATGCGACTTTTTCAGCCCCTCAGCGAGCCCATCGTATACAAAGCGACACAAGAAACTCGTGTGGATTATTTCCCCGTGTGTTGTTGGTTTTGTCTTGTTGTGTGCCATGACATCCTTCTTGGCTGGATGTTTGAGAAAGACGAGTAGACAAAGGGAAACAAGAAGAAGTAAAGGGGTTACTCGGGGGGTAGAAGAAGGAGGGCCGAGTGGTGTGGCTAGTGTTAGTGAGGATGACCATAATAACAACAGTAGTAACGGGAGTAAAAGAGGGGGGTTTTCGTGGGACCAAGGGGCCGAGGGACTAGGGAGCCTGGTGTTCCTGGGGCCGGGGGATCAAAGAATGAGTTACGGGCTGGAGGAGTTGTTGAAGGCATCAGCTGAGACCTTGGGACGTGGGATCATGGGGAGCACTTATAAAGCGGTCATGGAGTCGGGGTACATTTTGACTGTGAAAAGGCTTAAGGACGCCAGGTACCCTACTATGGAGGAGTTTAGGAGGCACATCGAGATCGTGGGCCGGCTGAGGCATCCGAATCTGGTCCCGCTCAGGGCTTATTTCCAGGCGAAGGAGGAACGTCTGCTCGTATACGATTATTTCCCAAACGGGAGTCTTTTCTCACTTATACATGGTATACAGTTTTCTCTGTGTGTGTCTTTCCTATGCATGTTTTTTGGATGTCGTTATTATTATTAGGTAGATAAAAAGTACAAACATTAACTACAACTATTTTAGCCTTTACTGTCTCTGTGATGAATATGTCCTTTTCTGGTGTTTTCGGAAGTAGATTAAGGTCGTACATGGCATGAATCGTGGTTAGTACTAATGAAAACAGCAATCATGACAAGGGAAGAACAAGATGATTTTGATAACCAAGGAATTGTGTTATGAGAAAATAGTAATCGTCACATTGTCGTAATTCCATTCCCAAGCTAGCTTGTGTTTTAGGTCGTGAAAGAAAAAAATGATTTGCAGGGTCAAGAGGCGCAGGCGGGTCGAAGCCACTCCACTGGACATCTTGCATGAAGATAGCCGAGGACCTAGCTGCTGGGCTCGTCTACATCCACCTGAACCCGGGCCTGAGCCACGGCAACCTCAAGTCCACCAATGTCCTCCTGGGCTCCGATTTCGAGTCGTGCCTGACGGACTATGGACTCTCCACGTTCCGCAATCCAGAGGCACACGAGGAGTCGGGAGCCTCGTCCCTCTTCTACCGGGCCCCCGAGTGCCGCGACCCTCAAAAGGCGGACGTCTACAGCTATGGGGTCCTCCTGCTGGAGCTCCTGACTGGCAAAACCCCATACCGTGACCTGGTTCAGGAGCATGGCTCAGACATCCCCACATGGGTCCGGGCCATCCGTGAGGAGACCGAGTCCGGGGATGACCTCGTGTCCTCCAACGACAAACTCACTGCCCTTCTCAATATTGCTATGGCTTGCCTTTCGCTTCAGCCTGAGGCCCGCCCCACAATGAGGGAGGTCCTCAGGATGATTAGGGACGCCCGCGCCGAGGCCCACCTATCCTCAAACAATAGCAGTGATAATTCACATTCGCCTGGAAGATGGTCGGATACCGTGCAGAGCTTGCCGAGGGAGGAGCATTTGAGTATATGAAGGCAATTGTATTTGTTGTGTATTAATTGTTCTTCTTTTTCTTTTTCTGGGAATTTCAAGTAAATGTAATGATTAGATAATGTTGCCAAATGATTTCCCCGGAAATTTTTGAGTGTTTTCTCTCTTCTGGTGGTGATTGCATCGTTTGCTTATTGTTTGTAGATTAGCTTTTGGTTTGATTAAAGTATTATAATTTTTAATTGCACAAATGTTTCGCATATGTTATTTTTATGTGCATTTAAAAGTGATTATTGGGGTTTGTCTTACCATAGTATTATATATAAGAAATGGTATAAGTACATCATATTATATAATATAAGGGTGTACATACTACTCACATTGAGTGGGATTCATCAAAAATAAAAAATCAAGTAGATCTCACTCCATGTGAATATTATGTACACCTCTACGTACATTTATTATGCACTTATAGCATTTTCATTATATATATAGTTAGGATCCAGTGAGAATGGTAGATAGTGAAAGAAATAAGAATGACTCTAGACCATTTGATCCAACACATCAATAGTCATGATCAAGTCAAATTTTGGTCAATCATTAATGGCAGTATGATAAATTAACACACATTATGGTCAATTGTATACATTTGACCAATTATTAAGGATATTCTAGTCATTATACATCAACTCCAACTCATAACGTGGGACCCACCACAAAACACCAACCCTAAATTATCTCTCTCTCTCACACACATTCACCTAGTAGATCTATATCTATCTCTCCCTCTCTGCACGACATATTCCACACACACAATCACGCACAGATGGATCCGCCACCACCTGCAGCCGCAGACCACCGCCCGCCGCCACCACCTGCAGCCCGTCGACACAACCTCGCCACTCCCGTCGCCGCCTGTCGACTGCCGTCCGCCGTCCGCCAATCTCGCCACCGCCTTGCTCCCGCCTTCTGCCACATCCATGGTCGGCACATTCGCCGGAGAATCCCTAGTCGGCGCTGCCGCCGAACGCAACAAGGATGTTGGCCATCAAGACGGCCGTCGTCAGTCTCCGCCGAAGCTGCACGTCAAGGGCCTGTGATTCGGCGGAGCTCGTCATCTTAGTTTCCATCTCGTCGTCTCCTCAGATGGAAATTGCCTCCGCCGGCGGTGGCGGTGTGACAGTGATGGTAACCTTCACTCCTTGCCGGAGGAGGACTTCAGCAGGATGGGAGATGCCGAGATGTAGGATGGATGTCGGGGATATGGGCCTGTAATTGTAGATTTAGGATTAGTAATTTAGGCCTCCAATTGAAAATTTGATAAGTATTAAAGGCTTAATTGTAATTCTTGAAAGTTAAATATATTACAAATTTAGTTTATGGGGTAAATATGAAATATATCCAAATTTTAATAATTGAAAAATTAATATTCAAATCAGTGCAACTTGTTGTTAAGAGCATTGCACAATAATGAATTTGTTATTTATCAAACTATAATTAATATTTTAATATTTCTATTTAATGTTCAGTATTTTTGTATTTATTGTGGCTGAAAATTAATAATACTTTACATAAAATAATATAATAATAAATTAATATTTTATATATATAAATATATATATAGGTTGGTTGTCCGGTTATCTCAATAAAAAAAAAAATCTGATATTTAACCGACACAATCGAGTTTTTAAAAATAAAAGTATGGCAATTGAGATTCGAATTCTTATGCGATTTAAGAATTCGAACTAAAATTATTGGTTTGTCGAAACAAATTGATATTGTGCAACTCAATAGTCAGTAATGTGCAATTCATATAACCTTAATGTGCAATAACAATACATAAAAATATATAAAATAATAATAACATTTTTCACATAATTTGATCGTTCCAGTTATCTCGGTTATTTAAAAAAATAAATATGACATCGAACTAAAATAATTGTAATTTAAAAATAAACTTGACCAATCGAATTAAAGTATAAAATTTCAAATAAAAAATTTAATTCGTTTGTATCAATAGCTATTATGTAATTTGATAGTCATTAATGTGTAATTCTTCTAATACTATATAACGTGCACTCACAGTGCATTCATTTTGTACATTAGCACACTAAAAATGAACGGACAAAATCGATATATTCTATCGGTTAATCAAAACACCATAAATAATAAAAATAATTTTTATTGCGGGTGTTGTGATTAAGTGCAGCGTGTTGGTTTATAAAGTGCAATGTCTGTCTTATAAAGTGCAATGTGTTGATATATAAAGTGCATTACTGTAATTTGGGTATGTTCGCATTCTTGTTTT